CCCCAAAACCCCAAAACCCCAAAACCCCAAAACCCCATCCGAGGCTAAATAATTTAGGGATAAATGATATAAACCAATGTCTTCTAGAATTGATTATTTTCTATAAATTTTATCGCTATCTTTCTTCTTTCTTAACTCTCTCTCAGAGGAGTCTCTTCTAGGGAAATGCTTCTTACTTGAGTCTTTCTTTGGAGATTTCTTCATGAAGGGCTTTGCTTTGGCTTTCGGAGACATCCTTTTAGGGGATTTATGGTCTATAGAGAGGTTATTGTGGCTTGTAGGTGTATAATAGGCCTAGATGAGCGATACTTTGGGATAAGAAGATTATTTTAGACAGGAAAAGTTGATTCTAGTTCTTGGTTTTAGTCATAACCCTCATCCTTCCATTTATTTCATAATTCATCTCCAAAATTTAATAAGTCGATGTTTCTTTTGTAATAAAAATTAATGACTACCGGCTTAGAGCCCAAAGTCTTTATATTTCTTGCTATCTTGTGCTTTTAGTTGTTTGAAACAGTAAATAAATTGAAGCATTAAAGCCATTGATTATTGACCTTAGTAGAGTGCAAATATCTATTCAATATCTTCATAAAACAAGACAAATAGTTTAAACTTTGCTAATCTCTCTAAACAATCCTAAATGTCGAAATATCTTCTGTAAAATTTCCTCGAACAAATCTAGAGGCAGCTATAAGTCATATGTTGCTACAAGGAGCAAGCTTTCCAGGATCCATGCCCACCTTTACTTGGAGAGCTCTATTTATGGCCTGTTTAGGCCCCTGCAATTTATTTTATCCCGTAATGATAATTAAGAATATAGGTGATGCTTACCTCTTGATGAACTCTTCCTGGAGTTGCTTCTTGACTTTGATTTTGACGATTTTCTGGAAGATCTTTTGGATGATTTTCTGGGCGATCTTCTGGACAATCTTCTGGATGACTTTCTAGATGACTTTTTGGATGATTTCCTTGATGATCTGCTTGATGATTTCCTTGAAGATTTTCTTGACGATTTTCTTGATGACTTCCTTGAGGATTTCCTTGAGGATTTCTTTGAAGAAGTCCTTGAAGACTTCCTTGATCCTTTACCTACAGATTAGCAATCTTAGTTTACTATGGGATCCATCTCTGCTTCTCTTCATCAACTTATTTCTCTCTAACCTCTTGGGTGAACTTGGGTCTTTCTTTTCTTTTCTCCTACTATGAGCTCTAGACTCTCTGCTCTTCAGGTCACTTGCATCACTCTTACCATCGGTATGTGCTCTACTATCAGCTCTGCTATCCTTATCCCTCCTATATATAACTTCAGCTTGTTACCTATCATCCTTCTGGGACTCGTGCTTGCTTTCATCATCTTTAGCTTTGCCTGTATTCTTACTTCTATCTGTAGCCTTGCTCTGATCATCTTTCTTTGACTTAGAAGTTGAATCTTTCTCCTTATTAAAATTCATCTCTGTCTTGTATCTATCATACTTGATCTTAAGATCATCGATTAGGACTTTCTTGTCCTTGGCCTCTTTGTCTCTTTCTTCAAGCAGCTGCTCCATCTCCTGCTTCTCTTTGCAGAGATGGTCGTACTTTTTCTTCTCTAGCACAAATATTTGTTGATACTTTTTCTTTTGAACTTTAATAGCATTATCTAAGATGGACTTCTTATGCAACAGTTCTTTCTTGTGAGCATCATAGTCATCGTAATCATGCTTCTTCTCAACCTCTTTTGCTACCAAATCGATGTCGATGTTATGCCTCTGAGCTATAGTCTCTAGACCGTTGAGCTTCTCCGTGAGGACAGAGATCTGCTGACCGTTGTTTTCTTTGATTTCCTCGAGTTTTTCCAATCTAGCGTTTACTTTGGAAAGCTGCTGTCTTGTAACGTTAAGTGAATTATGGGTGTCATTGATCTTCCTCATATGGCCAATTTCTCCTCCCTTGTTGAGCATGTAATTAAGCTCCTTATCTCTGTTCTTCTCTTGCTTCTCCAACTTTTTCTTATTATTCTTCAAGTCCTTCACATAATTGCTCATCTCTCCGACCTTCTCCTTGAGATCAAAGATATACTGTGGGTTAGAGACAACTTCTAGCCTATTGGTTAGCTTATTGTGCTCCTTCATCAGGTTCCTGGTGAGTTTGTCATAGTTCTCACTCTCTCTTTCCTTCACAATTCTCTTACGTTCTTCTGCTTCTTCTGGCTCCAGCCCCTTCTTGGCACTCTTTAACTTGATATCTTTCATCTGCTCAATAAAGAGGTTGAGAGCAGTATTCAAGTTTTTCAGTTCAGTTCCTAGGATATTGGACTCTTCCTTCAAGTAAGCAGCCTTATCGTCATGGTCTACAGCATCATTAGCTTTTTCTCGCTTTTTGTGAACAATCTCCATCCTGGATTTAGCCTTAGCGATTGTTTCTTCAATAATCTGCATTGGTGCCTTTTTGTGGCCTTTTAGAGCAACCTTTGTCAGAAATGAAGGCTGAGACCTGGTCATTGCTCCTTTAGTCATCTTTGGAAAATGTGTTGCAGTTTGAGTGTTCATAGATCCTCGAACGAATTTGTCCTTCTTACTTGTCCTATCTTTGCTCCTTGATTTCAATTTGAATTTATCTGTTATCGCAGGATTTCCCATACCAGGTTTGATCAGAGAAGAAGTTCTTCCTTTCCTCTTGCTAGATTTCATGCCAGAAATCGAAGCATTATTAGTCTTGCCCATCTTTGGTTTTGCGGACTTATTTAAACAAAGGTGACTTAGTCTGCCCTGCAGGTCCATTTCTCATTCCACGAGAACTATCAGGAATCTCTTCTTCAAAATCTTGGTCATAGCTATCTCCGCCCATTTCAGGTCTCTTCGTAGGTTCTGAGTCTTCTATTTCTTCCATTATCGGCTCATTTGAGCCTCTTAGATTACGATCGTTATTATTCCTTCTATTGGACATTAGTCTTCAATCAGATAATTAATCAAAAATATTTATTAACTAGCTTAATAATTATAATTTCAACTTTTATTTCTCCACACGGGGTTTTGGGGTTTTGGGGTTTTGGGGTTTTGGGG